ATTTGTCACTCCTTTTCTTTGTACCCTCCTTCAATCTCGTCCATCAGAGCAAAGCTATAAAAGAGCGTGGCAGCGCTCCCGTCAAGGCACATCGTTGTTGGGGAATTTTCGATGGGGAGGAGGTCGTATTTGGCCGCAGGTGAGGGGGGGGTCGTAATAGGCTGGAACAAATTCATTTCAATAGCTGATTTTTCTCGCTTCACGGACGTTGTAAAGGGGGGGAGTGGTACTTGGTCATTGTTGGGAGGGGGGGGTCGTATTTACGTTTTGGCGTTGTAGGAGTGGTGGTCGACTTTTGGTGATTTTCCTGTTTCATGCGTACTACATGTCTTCCCCACTCCGCTCGGCGACTCCGGCTCGATTCGATTAGGGGAGCAGAGGGCCGAGGGTGGGGGGGTCGTAGGAACCGCCCCAAAAAATAGGGGGAGGGGTTGTACAGACCGACTAAAACCCCCAACCAATGATGTGCCCTGGCTCCAGTTGCTTTTTCTTAGTGATGTCGCTAGGATTAAAGGTTCGAAAAAACCGACAAAAGCGAAAAGATTAGAGACGGGAGGGCACGCCAATGAAGCGTCCCTGGTTAAGCTCCCCCCCCCATTCTCGGCTTCCCAGGGATGGGAAGCATCTCGAGCTCTGAGACATTGACCGTCGAAGCGTAGGTATGACAATCTTCGTCCTCCTCAATACCAGTCACGAGGATCCCGCGAAAGGCGTGGCATGGCGCATGGAAATCCTGCTCTCTCTGCGAAACAGCGACCTCATGTCCTCGCACTTTGGTGATTCCTCGCATTTTTCTAACTCGTTGGCCGCAGTTTCTTCATTACAGGAATGTCCAACTTCTAGTCAGAGCCTTTATTTCGCATCGTTTGACACAACAATCTAATTTCAATGTTATGGTGTCGTAACCTAAGGGACGTGTAGTAAATTGCAAGTCTGCTTTCTCCGTGTTTTTTTGATGAACGAAACTTTTCAAGAATCCATCTGACAATGTGTCGGATCCTAAGCTTTTCCTGAGCTCTACAGTACAACTATCAGTTGTCATAAGTAAGTATCAATATAGCAGAGGTATACAAGTAACTATGTAAAAACGAATAGCTAACAAGTGACTGATTATCAAGGACAAATGTTTTTGGTCCTGGCTGACAGGTTGTCACCTGGAGCCGCATGGATCACTGCAATCACTATGGGATGGACATGGAAGCGGGAAGGTGATGAGGCGTATGGATAGGACCTACCTCACTAGCTGTCCGCTCTCAAAGAAACGAAGCAGTTAGATCGGTAAGGAAGGGCGAGAGTGATGTCGTTTGATACCCTCTAGGCCACCACATGTCACGCAAGGCAGAGCTCAGGATTTGCGACGGCAACGCTTCAGTCGCGCGCTCGACGCGATAGATGCGCATGCTTTCGACTGCATTAATCGTGCCCAAGGCGCGGCCGTCGCGAAGTCTGAACGCTGCGTAATGTTAATTCAGTCGCATCATGCGCAGATCTCCACATTTGCTCGCCGGTCCTTCCTGTTGTTGAACGGAGGATGTCTTCTTCGTAATTTCAATGCATCTTTTATCTTTCACCGGGTCAAAAGCATTAATGTGAATGGTGCGTGTCTATTCTGTCTGCTGTCTCTCCCTGTACGTCTTTGGCACACCTGAGGATAACACCTCCTGCGTTGGTTCAAGTCTCGTGGAATCCTCGTTCTAAGCATGGCTTTCCCCACTTGGCGCAACTTTCACCCCCGCATCATCCTCTCAGTTCTTACACTCGTCTTATTTAGGAGATCTAGGGCAATGTCTGCCAGGGAGGGTCTTTATTGAAAGCGCAGTTCATGACCAAGCAGCACCTTGATGTCTTCCCCAGTTTGTGGGACGTACTTCTTGCGAGCACACGGTCGAGTTCCGTTTCTCTCCCTTCACCACTGTACTTTATCTTTCCGTTATGCCTTTTTGCGAAGAACGTGCTGCAGACCGCTAGTTGTGGGCTATTGCCAGGTCCAAGCCTCAAGCCCTCTCTTTCACTACAAAGGTGCCGATGAGGTCTTTTCTATGATGCTCATCGTCTGGGAAGCGATCTGATGGTCTCGTCCAGGGTCATGTAGAAGTCATCCTGTTTGAAATCGGGCAACCAGCTTGCAATGCGTATTCGTCCCATTACCCGCTGATTCTATTCCTTCGCAGTCCTCGAATAGATCTAGAATAGAATCCTACGACTTCTCCGTTCAGCTTGGAGTCTCCACCATTGTAGAAAAGCTTGACCCCTTCTCCGATCTCGCGAGCCTCGGCTCCTTCCCAGCAAAGGCATAGGATCATTGAAAGCATATGACCCAGATGTTCCTCCATTTCATCAGCTTTTCGACCTCTCCAGAACTTCCGGTCAGCGATCCCACGTTCAGAGTTCCATCTCGAGCTGGCTTTTTGGCCCAGCTAGCTCACCCCTAGCCCTCGCACTGACCAACTCGGGCGAGGGTCGTGCTCGCCACTTCCGGGTGACGACCCAGTATTAATACTAATTTTATTGCGACTTTCAGTCATTGTTGTCGTGAAGAGTTCCTCTATCGGAAGGGTTCCTTCCATCGGTAGCGTCAGGCCGAAGCAGGGCCTAAGGCCACCGATGGACAAATACAAAAAAAAGACCGGTGCATAAATACGAAAAAAGTGCAAAATTGTGCCGATACCACCGTCAGCCCACGTAGGGCTTGACGCTGGTATCGGCACAAGTTTTGCATTTTTTTTGTAAAGCATGGTCTTTGCAGGGCTCGAGCTCGTGGTCTTTTCCAGAGCAGTGCAAACATAGTCTACATTTCTAATCACTCGGCTATCCCTGCAGTTGATTCATGCAGCTAACAGGAGAGAAAAGAAGTGTACAAGACTGAGCAGGGGGACCCACTGTGTGAGTCAGTGAGCTCTTCAGGAAAACCTAAATATTTTTGTTCATAGGCACCTACAGCACATATTGCGAACAGATTGTAATCATCCTAGAGCTACACTCCGGGTAAAGCAGCGTTCAGACCTCCAACGGCAGCGTGTTCGACCCATCGATGCAGTTGAAAGCATGCGCATCGATCATCGAATCCCGCGACCGAAGCGCTGCCGTCGCGAAGTATGAACGCTGTCTAGCACACATTTCTAAGGGCCATTTTGCCCTACTACTTCTCCTTGTAACTGCATTTCCGCAGAAAAGAACAATTTTTCAGGGTTCATTCAGTGAATTTGCAGATGATTTTGCCGCGCGCTGTTTTGTCAGGAAAGGTTTGGTTTTCCATCGAAGACTCTTCCCAGACCCAGTATTCATCGTTGTGTATGGGAATGTGACAACTGAGCTTTTCTGTATGGTCCTGCTACGGAATCGTGTAGCGCAGACAACTATAGGACGACGGTTTCCGAAGCACCGGAAGCTGAAAAAACTTGGTGAACTGGGATGGTATTTTCAGAGTAGGTAGAACTCCATGGTGGGTGATTCACAGATCCCAGCAGTGGTCATTGAACCCCATGCAGATCAGCGCAGAAGGACAGAAAGTTGGCACGATGAAAGGGATCACGTTGAGGTTGTCCGTGGACCATTCTGATAATTAATTGGTGCCAGATTGGCTGACAACCCGAACAGTCGGCTGGTTTTCAGGTAATTCCAGTAAGTGGGTTGGTTCGAACGGTGAAAGGGAAACGTTTTGGCGGCCGATTCAACGACCTCTGCCCCTTTATGGCGTTCGTGGAATAAGAAAAATCAATTATCAAAAAAGTTTTTGCAGACCAAATAAGGCCTCCCCTTCCCCCAGATACGACCCCCTTTTTAGGAGTCCCCAGTGATGGTGTGCCCTGACAGAGATTTTAGTGGATCGTCTGTACTCGAAGAGTGCTTTGCTGCTCTCTTTTGAGTTAAAACCCATGTATTTTTCAAATAAAGTTAGTATCGCAAACAGTAGTCCTTAATTGATTGAATGTGCCGATGCGGCAGTGAGCTAGGTCATTTGGCTGTTTCTTGGGAGACGGGCAAGAGAATCGTAATTTGCCGCTTCGCCGCGCGCGGCGATGAGCGCGGCGTTAACCTGTCGATTGGAGCACCGGACTTCATGTAGACCCCGTCATGGTAGCCCTTCATGACCAATTTAGGTTCTGAAGTGCCTGTTGTCGTCATCTATGACCTAGAGCGACGCAGCACGCGACGCACCAAGTGCGGCGAACTACGGTTCTCTTTTCACATAGACCTTGCAACATTTCGTTCGCCACCACCTATGCACATTTGCAACTCTGTGGATTAGTGGAACACACCAGGAGAACACTTTTTGGTCAAACACCTTACACAATAGTTGTCTGGCCCAAAATTATACAGACAATAATATTGTTGTCCCACTTCGCAATGATTCACATGGCCCTGTTTTCTGAGCTCACCAAGTTGACCACGTACGCTTTTGTACCATGTTCACCCTTAAAGGCAGTTGGCACGATGGTTTCCTACTCGGCCTAAAATGCTAGTAGGGCGCTGTATAGTGGGGAAATGGCGAAAGAACGGAGTGAAACGGTCAAAAAGAAAAAGCCTCCGTTCTCAGTGACTTGAAAATCGATTTCGGACGAGTTTCCCGTACGCATCTTGCCAATCACCGCTACCGAAGATACG